AGTGGGGGGGGGGGGGGGGAATCATTCAGCTTGCTGAGAGAAATTTTTGTGTTCTGTCCACACTAGAGATTACCCTTCGCCCAGGGTTTGGCCCTTTAAGGAACCACATTTCCTTACTTTATTCTAGAAGCATATCCTAGAATCTTAGAGTTTAAAAATACAGTTTGTAACTATTTCAAAGGTCTAAGAGTCATAACTTTTTGTTTTCTTACTGAAAATAATGTTAATCAGAGAAACCGATTGTTTTGCTTTTTATTGCTCTGTGAGAAATTGGAGGGTTATATGTTTTGTTGTTAGGTTAACTAAACTCAGAAATTGACAAAGGAAGGACTGGATAAACACCGGGTTTTCAGTAGGAAAACAACCCCAGTCTTGTTTTAGCAGCCACTTGTTCCTGAGGGGTTTGGGGGGGGGGGTGCTTTTAAAGGTGGAACAAACCCTCTTCTGTGTTAAATCAAAAGGATGGTCAGAATCCACAAGGGCAGATGCTACTTCAGTTTAAAACGAGCCATAGATGATTCAAAATCCTCTTGGGGCTGAAAATCACTTCCTATCTGCATGGCTTTACTAACGGTCCTCTGTTTTCCATTATCTTTTGCAAAGTCTTGATCAGTATTTTTCCAGCGTCCAAATTGGAAGGTCGATATTAGGCCGATGCTAAATTATGTAGTCAAGAAATGAAAGCAGAATTTTATGCTAGAGATACCTTTATTCTCCTTCCATCTGGAAAGGAGCTTCATGGTCAAATTACTTGTTAGTGCAATATTTAAATGATGGAATTTTGAGGCCATAACTCTAATCCAAAAAGTTGCAGGGGTAATCTAAAACTTGAGCAAATGGCAAGTAGAACTTAAGGGGACTCCCACTTCCAGAGGCTGTTTAAGTTGTGGCTGTGAACATTTGCTGCAAAGATTTAAAAAATCATATATATATATATACACACACACACACACACACACACACACATACACACATACATATGATGGGCAGCTCAGAGAGTCAAATCTAAAGAGTTCTTAAGCCAAGTTTGGTTCAGCTTCTTTGGTACCCCTGCTGTAATTTTAAGATAATGCCTCATTGTACCAGTGTTTTAATATATGTAGATCATATAACCCCTATGAAACCACAGCTTTTTTTTTTCAGATAGAAGGATTTTTCTTCCAATTCTTGTGCTATAAAAAAAGATAATATTTATACCAAGTAGTTTTAAAATTAAGATTCATTAAGCTTAAATATAGGCTAAGTATTGGCTGGTGGAATTTTTCTACCACCATGTCTATGGTTCCTAATGGGCCATCAAAATCATGGTTCCTTGTCCTGTCTTTCCACAGCCCTTAGTCCTTGGTCTGCTGTGATATTTATGTTGAGTTGACCCTCTTAGTGCCTCTCTAGTTTGAAGGTCTCTTAATATTTAACTGTGAAAACTCAGAAATGAGAAAGGAGAGAAGTAGGATGGTTTTTGTGTTTTGACACTTTGAAATTATTATGGTTGAATAATTTTCCAGAACAAAGAAACAACATGCTTAACAAAGCGCAACGAAACAAAACAAAATACAAATGCAAAGCATTTTGCGTGTCAGTGGTTTTATTCTACCTGTAAAAAAGTAATATTAAACACTTAAGGTATTACAAGGCCTAACCAATCACCTTTATGGAAAAAGATAAAAGTATTTCTTTTAACCCAAGAAAAAGAAGGAAAGGGTAGGTCCAACAGAAAACTCACCCCTTAAATAAACATAAAATGTAAAAAGTTGGGAAATTTAAAGGATTTTCCATCTGGAAACTGAACTTTTGTCTTGGAACTTCTGTTGGCGCCAAGCCTCGTACGCAGCTCAATAACTATTTGTTGGGAATAATGAATGAAAGAAGGAAAAAATGTGTAACATCCCAGCACCCAGGAGGTGGTTTCTCTTTCTCTTGCCTCACACTGAGCTTCCTTTACACTCATTTCATTCCCCGAGAAAAGCTAATCCTGGACAAGCTGCACAACATGAGGAAGCTCCTTAGGCATACTTTCTTAGTGGAAATCAGATCTGCTTATGCCCTGCAGGGAATGCTGAGGTCAGAGTAAATGCCTATAAAGAGCTCTTTCAAAATGAACATTTCCCTCATAGAGGAAGCTGGAATTTCCTCATATGGAAATCGAACCAACTTTATTTCACTTAACATTTTTTCAAATAGAGGTAGAAAAACCCAACTCATTGCTTGAAAGAATTCCCCTCATATGTAAACACTGTTAAGAAGTCTGGCTTAAGTTCAAAGGCATTTTTTGGGGTGTGTGTGTGTGTGTGTGTGTTTTAAACTCTGTCCTCATATACCCATTTCTCTTAAAGATTCCTCATTTTAAATCTGACACTACAAGTTTGTTGCTAGTGTGGAAGTTCAAACACATCACTTGTTTTCGTTCCCCAGGGAAAGTGACTTGGTTTTAGCTTGTCTCCAAGTATTTATAATATCATGTTCAATGGCAGGTTTAGAAGAGGGGTCTAAGACTATATGTGAAAACTAGATCAATCCCATAAAATATAGAGCTTTGTAGGATGAGGATGGGCTTGTGAACATTCATTCTTCTCTTTGTTTTTTGTTTGTTTGTTTTTTTGTTGGTAAATGTAAACAAACTTCCTTTTGCTTTACCAGTAAAATGCCTTCAGCCGACTAAAATTTAAATTTGGAAGTTACAGAGCTTGATATTGAATACATCAGTGATTCTTATAAGAGAAATATGCCAATTTACCCCAAACAACCTGAGATGTATTAATTATGAAATTGTGTTGGGTGGGTTTTTAATAACTACTTTCTAAAGTTTGGGCACAATTTGAAGGGTGACTTTTTGGTCTGTATGTTGTACAGCCAATCTAGAATTACATCACATTAGATGACAAAGTGATCTGCAACTTCATTGGCAGGACATCTGCTAAATGGAGTGTAGGATCCAACAGGGTTTTCTTAGGGCATTATTGTCCAGTGAAGGAAGCAGAGGACTCTGGGTCATTAGCGGCATCTTCATAAAAGCTGGAGAGGCCTACTCCCTATCGCTCTGAAGCTGGCCTACTGGTGGTCAGTGGGATAGTGAGGAATTGATTTTTAATAGTAGGTGGTCCGTCCAGATCACTGTATTTATTTTGAGAAGGAAGATAAAATGATTGTCTGTTACATTCCACTGTCGGCTTTCTGCTTAGTTTCAGAATATGCAAGTACCGGCTTCTGAAAAACAAGTATCACAATGTACCAAATGCTTTACTATCACATTCCTGAACTTAAGTATGCTCATAATTTGTGTAAATATGTCTCTTAAATGATTTGGGGAGATGTGATTTATTTTTCATATTTTAAAAATGCATTCCATTTTAAATAAAGTATCGAATGAGATGACTGATCTGTGGACCCTTTGAAGGCCTTGCTGACAGGGCATAGACACTATGCTTTCCTATGGGAGAAGGGTTCTAAAGGGCTTGTCTGTTGAAAAGCCCTTGACCATTCTGAGAAGAAAAAAACCATCTGGGGGATTGGAAATTTACTTTTAAAAACATTAGCTGGGCATTTTGAATATAGGATATAAAAATTCACTTAGATCTTTTGGGAAAATAATTACCTTTCAGAATGCTAATGAATTCGAGTTGAATTTTCCATAATGCCCCAGAGGATAAGAAATGGTTCCAGTAATTGGCTTGAATTACTTGAGTCCCAGAAAGATTCTAGTCCTTCTATGTCTCTTGAGAGGGTAGAGTCTTGACTCAGAGAATCACTCTTCAAACAGGTATCTATAAAGCTTCCTGTTTTATGTTGAGAGCAGAATAGAGGCTTGATTCTTTAAAGGAAAATAGCATAATTTTACAATCTCCATTGGCATCTAAAAAAACCTTTAAATCTCAAGACTTTAACATAGAAAACTTGAAAGTATTTTTCATTTCTCTACTGTTTTAAGCAGGATTTTTTTTTAAGCAAGATTTTTTATTTTATTTTTATTTTTTATTTATTTATTTATTTTTTTAAATATATTTTATTGATTTTTTTACAGAGAGGAAGGGAGAGAGAGAGTTAGAAACATCGATGAGAGAGAAACATCGATCAGCTGCCTCCTGCAATCTCCATTGGCATCTAAAAAAACCTTTAAATCTCAAGACTTTAACATAGAAAACTTGAAAGTATTTTTCATTTCTCTACGATCCTGCGCTCTATCCACTGAGCCAAACCGGTTTTGGCTTATTTTTATTTTTTAAAGAAGAAATGAACCCTGGCCAGGTAGCTCAGATGGTTAGAGCAGGTTCAATCCCCGGTCAGGGCACATACAAGAATCAACCAATGAATGCATCAATAAGTGGAACAACAAATCAACGTTTCTCTGTCTGTCTGTCTCTCTCCTTTCCTCTCTCTCCCCCTCTCTCAAATCAATAAATAAATAAAAAAGAAGAAATGAAACCTAAGAAGACAAATTACTGCCATTGGGAGGGGACTTCAGGGGTACTGTGTGAGATAAAGGTATGTCATAGGCGATAAAGCATGGTTGGTAACAGCCAGGATTTGAGAGTCATAGTGCATGGGCTCAAGTCCCAGGTCCATGACTTACTAGCCATGCAGATCTTGAGTTACATAA